AGTGGCCAGTAGCTGAGCTGGGACTGGCTCCTGGGCTGCCTAAAGCAGCCACTGCACTTGCAACTGGCCACCCATCCCTGAGAATTAAGTGAGGGCCACCTACAGCCTCAGCCCTTCTGTTTCAGCAGTTGGGGCTGCACCCATGGGCCCCACTCCACCCCCAGACTCACCTGGTGCCGATCATCACCTGCTTCTTCAGGCCCAGCACAGGGGACCAGGACCTGTGTTGTCTTGGGCTTCAGGTAAATCCCTTTGGGAAGAGCAGAACTCAGCTCAGATCTCAGGCCAGGTGAAGAACCTGTGAAGCTGTCCCTCCAAACCATGGCTACCACCACCCACTCAGCCAAAACTTCCCAGGTCTGAGTGGGCCACACAACAGGCCCTCAGAGTGAGGTCAGACTCCCATTATAAATGAACACCAGTGATGATCACAGTAGAGAGACCCTGGAAACCCAGTCACCCACCTTCCCACCTCAAAGATGGAAACACCGTGGGCTCAGAGGTCTTCAGACAGATCAGCAAAGCTGGAGTGGAGCTGCGAGTGGAACCTGACCTTACACTCCAGTCGAGGGCTGAGCAAGAGCTGGTCTTACCTGGTGCCGTGTCTCTGTGCTCCCTGCACATTTAAATATCTGGCTGGGAGACCCTCTGAGTCACTTGGTGTCCAGGCCCATCCCTCCACCTCTCACCGCCCTTTCTCTCCATATGGGCTGCTGAGGTCTTACTCTGTGACCTGCTGGCACTCCCAGGATCAAGCCAGCTTCCTGAGGTCACCTCGCCCCTGTGATGTCAGTGATACCTCCCGCAGGCTCCCCCACCTCTGTGATGACCCAGAGTCTCCGTTTCCAGTTTCTGGGAGTTAGAGCAGCAGGAATCCACTGCTGCCCTGTCTCTTCTCTTGTGCCAGCCCTGCCTGGCATCGTCCTGCTTGAGGCCTCCTATAGCTTTCCCTCCCAGCAGGTGCCAAGGCCCCACCTGACCGTCATCTGCAGACTCTGGGGATTTAAAAATCCAGGAAGACGCCCTAACCAGTTTGGCTCAGTGGATAGAGCATCGGCCTGCGGACTGAAAGGTCCCAGGTGTGATTCCGGTCAAGGGCATGTACCTTGGTTGCAGGCACATCCCCAGTGGGGGGTGTGCAGGAGGCAGCTGATCGATGTTTCTCTCTCATCGATGTTTCTAACTCTCTATCCCTCTCCCTTCCTCTCTGTAAAAAATCAATAAAATATATATATTTTTTAAAAATCCAGGAAGAGGCAACAGGAAGGGCCTGGATTAGAAGGAGGGACTCAGCCCTAGCCGGTTTTGCTCAGTGGACAGAGCATCAGCCTGCGGGCTGAAGGGTTCAGGGTTCGATTTTGGTCAAGGGCACATGTCTGGGTTGCGAGCTCGATCCCTAGTAGGGGGTGTGCAGGAGGCAGCCGATCAATGATTCTCTCTCATCATTGATGTTTTTATCTCTCTCCCTCTCCTTTGGTCTCTGAAATCAACAAAAATATATTTTAAAATTTAATTTAATTTAATTAAAATAAAAGAAGAAGAAGGATGGACTCATTGTGAAATCTGGCACAAATCCCTTAACCTGCAGGGGACTCATCAATTTCAGTGGTACAATGACGGGAGGGGGCGAGAATGAGCAGGATGAGGCCTTCTGCTCTGTGATCCCAAACAACATGGTAAAGTCCATGACTTTTAGAGAGACCCACACCCACACCCACACCTGCCCCAGACTGGTTCACGTAGGACTGACTTCTAGCTTCTTTGTACGTTTATAAGGCTTCAGGCAGATGGTCTCACCTCCGGGAGGCTCAGTTCCATCTGCAGATGTGGATATTGTCCACAGTACCTCACAGGTGTTTCATTATCTCACAAATAATGAAACCAAGGCAAAGAGAGGAATCACAATAATAGAATCTACTTACTACAGTGGTTCTCAACCTGTGGGTCGCGACCCCTTTGGCAGTCGAACGACCCTTTCACAGGGGTCGCCTAAGACCATCCTGCATATCAGTCTTGTGGCTGCCCTCCATCTATGAACACCCCCTCCTCCACTACCTCCCCTCAGCTACGGGGAAGCAAGAAATGGACCTTCCCAGACTCCTTTGTAGCAGGGATGTGTGAGGATGTGACCTGGGCTCTATCAGATTCATTTGCCGACATGAGGATCAGCTGGTTATAAAAGTGACTGCAGCAGCATGTGGGTAGTGAAATAGTAGTTAATATAATTATTACCTGTTCTCACCCAGAATAATCTGATCTCCTAGAAAATCAGGCTTTGGGAACAAATGTTTGCTGACACAGAATGGCACGAAAGGCACATATTGGGGGTGGAGTGACATTTAAATGTATGAGAGAATTTAGAGGAATAAAAGAATAAGCTCAGTCATAATTTATTGGCACAAACATGATCAGAGAACCAGGAACTATCTATGACTGAACTATGAAGAATCCCTCATCTCTTGTAGCTGAAGAGATAAAGAAGCCAATCACAAAAACTAAAATCAAAGCTTAAGAATATAAGTTGGCACATTACAATGCTGGTTAAACTACAGCCTTACTTCACACACGTGCACGCGCACACACACGCACACACCACAAACAAAAGATATCAAATAACCTACAAGCACATGAAGCGATACTCAACGTCATTAGTCATCAGAGAAATGAAAAATAAAACTACCATGAGATGCCACTCATCCTCGCTAGCATGGTTAAGATGAAAGAGGCTGGCAATGCCAAGTGCTTTGGAAGATGTAGAGCAGCTGGAACTCCCATTCCTGCTGTTGGGAGTGCCATTGCTAAGACCACTTGAAGAACCTCTTTGGCAGTATTTACTTAAGCTAAACATATACCTACCCTATGACTCAGCAATTCCTCTCTGAGTATATACCCAGAGAAGTAAGAAATGCCCAACAAAAATATGTCCACAGCAATATCCCTAATTGGACACAACCCAGAAGTCCATCAACCATAGAATCTATATATATAAAAGGCTAATGTGCTAAGTGTCCAACTGTCCAACCGGTCGCAATGACACGCACTGACTACCAGGGGGTAGACGCTCAACGCAGGAGCTGCCATGACGCCCACTGGCCATTTACAGAGAAACAGCACCGTGGACCTGGCGCCAACAAACCAATACTTAGCTTCCCCCAAGTGGGACACAGGCCCCACCACCACCCTGGAGCGACCGCCCACCAAATTGCAGCCAATACTGCCAAGACCCCATGGCACAAAATGTGGCCCACAGCCCAACCCAGGCCAGAAATGGTCACTGTGGGCTCTGGGTAATGACATCACGTAGCTATACCCAGCTTCCTCTCCCTAGTGACCAGCCTCCTTGGAATTTCTTCAGCCTGGGAACATGACTTGCTTTATAGCCAGGTGCAAACATTTTACACTGTAACCAAAAGTCTGTGAAGCTTTATCCTGTGCCTCATCTCATTTGATCCTCACAGATGTCCTGGAGTAGGTAGATAGGAGACTCAGTGGAATCCTATTTTCTTTTCATTAGCTGGAAAACAGATATTTAGAAAGCTTAGAAACTTGACCAGACTGAAGAGAAGCAAGAAATGGTGGACCTTGAAAATGACTTCAGGTTTTTCAGAATATAGTCAAACACTGATGCAGTTAAATATTTTACCCTTTGTTCTCCCTGCATGATCTATAATAATAATCTGCTTTTTGTTGATATTTACTGCTGTGTTGCTGACAATTACCTGAAAAAGAAGTTGGGGTGCGTCACTGGGCTGGAAAAGTTTAGCTAAATCAGAAAGCGGGTCTAATTAAGCAAATTTATTCTATATATATATATAAAAGGCTAAGTTGATTCATGCTTGCGCAATACATATAAAGCTCTCACTGGCACCAATTGTATGCATGTGTTTCGACCTGTCATTGTCGATGATGAATTTGGTTGACACTTCTATTATAGAGAAAGTGCAAATAGCGATATTAAAATATTTCTTCTAATTAATTTCCTTTCGATGTGCACAAATTTGTGCACCAGGCCACTAGTTGATCAATAAATTCATGTCTATTTCATGGAACACGACACAGAAATGAAAAAAAGATCCAATGCTAAATGCAAAAACATGAGTGAATCTCATATACCTAATGTTGAGCAAAAAAGCCAGGCCCAAAATAATGACACATATATACATACTTTAAGACTCCACTGATAGGAAATTCAAACACAAGAAAAGTAATCTATGCTGACAGTACTCAGAAGAGTCAAGACCTCTGAGTAGCTGCCAGTGACTGGGAAAGGGTGTTGAGGGGGCCTCTGGGTGCTGGAAGTGTTCTATAGCTTATAATCTTCATCTTTATCTTATATATGTAATCTTCATCTTTTTACATTATACATACATGTATATGTACATATAATCTATATTCACATATATATAGTATATATAGTCACACAGCTGTACACTTACTGAAATTACATAACTATATCAGGCCTCTGATCTTCTGTGAAAGTTGAAGGATTGACTTTGAAAGACAGCATCCTAAGAATTGTAAGAAAGACTTATGGGAAGATTTAAAAGTCTCAGAGTATCTTAAACCCACAGACCCATTATGAATCCGTTGTCAGCACAAGTAACCTTTAGTCCTGGACTGAGGAGGCCCTACCCCACTGTCTAAAGATCTTTTCATAAACGGACCCAGGGTTCAAGCAATAGTCACTCTCTTCATGGACCAGCCCACCATCCCCCACTGCCCAGGTGCTTTAACAGAACCCCCAGAGCACCCCAATTATCAAGTCAGACCCTAGGAAGGAAAACTGACATGCCCATATAACCTAAAGGTTTTAACTACTTCACATGAAGAAAACCTATAGAATCTGTGTGGGAATGAACTCTGAGGTGTTAGACCTGGAAGGGAGGAACATCATTTAAGATCAGAAGATCAATTATTCATGAGTTCTTACCCACATTCTGCCCTCTAGGCACGAGCTCAACACCTGGAAGTGGTTCGAAATGTTTGTTCAGTCCATCACCTGAACCTGAACTCAGTGGCAGCATGGGTAAATAAATGCCATAAACTCCCTCGTCATCTAGAGGAAGGAACCCAGAGATTTAGAAAGAATATTCAAATAGTTCACTCACCACCTAACCATGAGGTCAGAAAACACAGCTTCTCCAAAGACTGAGAAATGTATTGAGAATCACATCAGTGACGGGAGCATAGGCATCTTTGAAAAGCACCGTATCAGCCAGAGATAAAGAGGGAAATCCTGCCCTTGAAATGGACTCTCTGTTTTCAACGGGAAAGATGAGATGAGGTCCTGGAGCATCATAGAGGCCAAGTAACAGCACTCCCCCCAGAGGTGATACGGTTACCGTAGTGGACAGCAGGGCCCTAGTGGAACCAGAATGGCCAGGTTTGCAGGGGTCGACAGTGTGGCTCATGGACCCTGGGCTCTCCAGGACAACAGGAGTTCAGCCTACTGAGACCCCATCTGATCTGTTTAACACAACAGGTAACTCCAGGTATACCGATGCCTTTCAAAATAATAGGCAGCCAGGCCAGTGTGGCTCAGTAGTGGA